CGTGCTTGTAATGTTAGTCTCAGATCCAGCTGGGAAGTCCGTTTCCCTTTGGTTTTCCGTTTGCTTCCCAGGCACTTAAAGGGCTGAGGAAATTCTTGCTCTAGAAGCCAAGGCTCTCCCGCCTCGGTGCAGGGAGTTATGACTCTGCAGCTGATGCTGCCCAGCAGGAGCACATGCTCAAATCCCTACACGTTACCTCACTGTCCCTTAGCGAGAAATGCTGGGGGTTAACATGAGCCAGCTGCAGCTGATCAAAGCAATTAAAAGGGGGAAAGGATTCCAGTCCTGTCTGCATCCAAGCCTTACATTTGTCAACAATTTATCACAGTTTGGAAAGTGCTAAAAGGCTTCCAAAGGGATTTTGATTTTAAGATAGATGAAAAGAGGTGAGGGAATAACTTAACAGCTGGATGGAAAATCCTAAAAAAAGTAATAAATATTCACAGCAGGCTTCTACATCATCTCATGTGCTAATGTCATATATTGGCACTAGTCTCGATATGATCCTCCTCTTTGCTCATATAAATAAAAGTGCTGTGGCTATTCGTAAATGACTGGTTTTGATTTGCAGCAAGCAGAGAGTAGGGTTCGATCCTACCCAATGTCCTCTTACCACTATCTCTTCAACCTATTAAATATAACTTAACATATGCCCCCCCCCAAGCCTATAGGTACCAGTGAGAACTGGGTTTTGGACCCTGATCATATTTTAATTGCTAGGTTTCTACCTTGTAACATCAAAATTATACTGCCTCAGAATGTGCAGAGATTATAGCTACACTTCTATGCTAATTTCTGAATAAACATCCATAGAATTGGGCTGTACGATATTGTATACTTTCCTCTACAGACATGATGGCGGAAGCAGCACAAACCTTGGAAATGTGAAGCCTTTGTAGTTATAGAACTTTGTATAACAGCTGAAGCCATTCTCAGTTTCTTGCCCTGAGGTAGCATTTTTTCATCTCAAGTAAAATATTACCTATGTTAATATGTCAGTTATGTATAGTACCTTCCTATATGTTTGACTTGCTATGTTCTGTTTTCTCTAAATAACATCCCCCCCTTGTGATTGTTTTAAGCCTGAGATATTCCAAAGCTTTGGCCATTCAGCAAGGCCTCGCCCTGCTTAATGTTATTTATGAATATAACATTTCCAAACAGTGAGGCTGGAAAGCTTCATATGTTAAATATCAAAGTGATGCATAGTTCCAGCAGTTCTGGTTTCTGGGTTTTTGTTGTGGTGGTGGTGGGGGACGACCAAGTAGCTCTTCTTAGTGTGGTATTGGCCAGCAGGATAGTGAGGCTATATTCTGGCCTCAGGTGACCTGATGCTGGGCTCACAGCTAGGCAGTATTCAGGGCCAGGCACCACCTGCAGCTGCAATCCACCTTGAAGAGCAAAAGCATAACAAATAATAACAATATTGTTATATGTAAAAGCTGTGTGTATAGAGGCAAATATTTGTAGCATTCCTGTCTTGAACTGGACATCTCTGTTCCGCCTGGTAGTCACTTAGCTATATATCTTAAGACTCACATGATCCAGCTTTTTTCATACAATCTCTCCCCTATCTCCACTAGAAAGCTAGCATGTCAGTAGAAAGGCCAGGCTACATCCCTGACATGTTCGTTTTCTAGGCAGCGCGATTTTTCTAAAATGAACAAAAAATTAGTACCACCTGGACTCCCATTTTCCACTGCATTGTTAAAGATACAATGTATCAGTAGAATGCCTCAAATCTCCAAGGCTTTGGTAATGAGGCTTGGGCACTTGGCACCCAGCATCCCACGACTGAGCCCACAGATGTGTTTTTAGTTCTAGGACTCCTGTCTGGAGCAGCTGCAGTAACTAAGGGCTGCTTCAAATATAGCATAATTCCTATCCTCAAAATGAGGGTACTTCAGGGTATGAAACAACATGTCACCTATAGTGTTTAATGGCTACACATATATGAATTTTACTGCTTGCTAGGAAGCTGTGGCCAGTGTGTTTACAGTACATGCACTGAACAACATTTGTTACGTGATTTATTATCCACATCTTATAACCCCCCTTTTTAAGCCAGAGCCATGATTCAATATATGTAATTATCAACATGGCCAGATCTGTTGATACTTGAATCCAGAGGCTGGAGCCATGAAGAGACAAGACAGATCTTTCTATGAACCTGGAAAATGTCCCAGATTTAATAAAATAAAGTCATTGGGGGAGTTAACTCCCCCCCCCGATAATAGAAGCAGCACCTGTAGCTTTAGGAAATGAATGTCCTCAGTGGCCATTGCTAGGCAACCACACAGTATTGTCAGCTCTAACCCATGTTTTGTTGTTGTTAGTAAATGGCAGGGGGAATGGGAGGGCCCTTTCCAGGGCTGTCTTGGCCTTTGAGGGAAGACTCCTTGGGTTCAGGCCCACCAGCACTGATCTCTGTCATCTGGACATCAGTTGTAATTCCAGGAGAACTCTAGCCACCACCTGGAGGATGGCAACACTAGGTGAGATATACATGGAATAATATAGTTGAAGATGGGGTTAGGTAAAAGAAGAGGAGGAGAAGAAGAGATTGGATTTATACCCCGTCCTTCACTCAGAGTCTCAGAGCGGCTTATAAACTCCTTTCCCTTCTCCTCTCCACAACAGACACCCTGTGAGGTAGGTGGGGCTGAGAGAGCTCTTTCGAGAACTGCTCTTTCAAGAACCGCTCTTGTCAGAACTATGGCTTGTCCAAGGTCATCCAGAAGCTGCATGTGGAAGAGTGGGGAATCAAACCTGGTTCTCTCAGATTAGAGTTCACACACTTAACCACTACACTAAACTGATAGGTTGGTGGGTGGGTGGTAAGGAGAGAAGGAAGCAGGGAAAGGTGAGGATATGGGGTTTGCCAGGAGGAAGGAAAGAGGAAATACTGTAGGGAAGGGGGTACAAGGGGGGGAATGAGGCACCCCCCTGAAAATCTTTGCAAATCTCCATCATGAAACTGGGCCCAGCTCAGTGGCTGGCACTGTACAACTGGACCATAATTTTTCTTGGTAGAGGCTGCCAGGAGGAAAGGAGGGAAAGCTGAAGATGGGGGGGGTATAAAAATAGGTTGCCGGGTGGGCAGGAAGGAAGCAGGAAAAGGAGAGAACCTATAGGGGCTTTCAGGGAAGGGAAGGGAAATACTGGGAAAGGGAAAATGAGATGCCCTCCACAAATCCTTGCAGGTCCATTGCTTTTCTTTGTATATTTGTGGAGCTCTGAATGAGCAGATCAAGATGGTTTTTCTTTACCTCTCAAAAATAACAGGCACAACCCCCCACCCCAATCAGCTGTGATATCAGACATTAAGCACTGCCTAGGATCTCCTTTGGAAGACTCCAAGTGACATATCATTGCCAGAGAACTTGCTTCTCTAGGGAAAATGGAAGCAACTGGACATGGGGGAGAAGTGTTAGTGTTTTCAGCTTTACAACATTAAGACAATAGTCCAGCACAGGGGTCTTCATATATTTTGAGCTTCTGGGCACCTTTGGAATTCTGACAGGGGGTGGTGGGCCACAGCCACAAAATGATCTTATCAGTTGTGGTATCTGCAAGGCAGCATGGAAAGCTTCTGTGTGCATTTTGTGGTGGCAGTGGCTTGAACCTAATGAATACCGGACCCACATGTCCTTCAGTATTGCGGAACTGTAATAATTAATCTCCTGGATTTCCCCGTAGAGCCAGGTGAATGATGACAATAGCTCATATCCAAAGGTGTGTGTGTGGATCCTACCATATTCTCTGCCCTGAAAGCCAATGGCTCCTGACACTTCGACTGTCTCCACCCTAACACAGAATTGGCCTAGTTAGTCCTTCGTTATGTATTCTGACTGGCAGTGGCTTTCCAGGCCCTGGTCCAAAGAACTCATATCCTTTCCCCGTTTATCACTGGCCTTCATTTCCCTCTCTCCTGTGTCGAATTTGAGATTGTATACTCCTCAGGGTAGGGATTTGTTTTCTCTGGCAAACCGCATGCTGCACACCAGTGGCACTCTGCAAAGCAATACCTAAGTAAATAATAGCGTTCATCTGCAGTGGAATTGATGGGTCGGTATGGGGTTCGTGGATAAGAGATGGGGGGGGCGGTACTGAAAAGCACGCCCCCGTGATGTCTGCTGAGTGGGACGTTTGACAGCCTCTCACTTTGAGCAGGGCAACCCTTTCTGAACAGCAGCTCTCTCTCTCACACACACATCCAGCCCTTCCCGCCGCCACCGTCAGCCAGAACAACAACTTCCGAAACGGGCGGGAGGGTTTTGTTTTCTAGTTCTTGCCCAGGAGAGCTGCGGCAAGTCACGACCCCCGAAAGCGGCAGTGCCTGTTCTTCTTTCCCTCGCTCGGAGCTGTTGCTTTGCCGGTGCTCGCTTGGAGCGTACTGCTCCCCCAACAGGCAAAACTTTCTATTCACAAACACACTCACACTGACGTCTTTTGCGCATTTCCTGCATTAGGGAGACAGACACAGAGAAAGAGAGAGAGCGAGAGAGAGGTGGGGTGGCGCTTCTCACTGGCGAGCCGAGCCGAGCCAGCGGCACAAGAGCCGTCCAGAAGGCTATTGGGTGGGATCACGGTCCTTATTTTGAAACACAGCAAAACAAAAATCTCCCGAGCGGTCCGGTCCGGAGCAGTCTCTCCTCATGCATTGGATTCGATCCACTGGATCCTTGGCCTTGGAGGAGGAGGCGGAGGAGGAGAAAGCGAGGAGGCTCCTGCAGCCGATGCGGATGTAAGGTTCCCCGGGCTGTGTGATTTTTCAATCGGGAGGCTGTGAAGTAGGCAGGGCTGCTTGGTTTGGTGTTTCTGGTTCCCCCCCTCCCGCCTTCCCTCCCTCCCTCTCCTCTGTTGTTGCTGCTGCCGCCGCCGCCGCTGCACAGACAAGACAGCACTAGCGCGTGCAAGAGCCTCGGATTGCTTTTTGCAGGAGACGGATCCAGGATTATGATCTAGAAAGGAAAACAAAAGGAAGAGGAGGGGGCGAAAGTCTGTGTCACAGCCACCCTCCGAGGATCTCTCGATTGTTGCTCGGATTGCATTTGGGATTTCTGCAAGCAGGGACGTCCCCCCCCCTCCCTTTCCCTCCTGTCCCCTCCCTGTTTTTCCGTTAGAAAACACACAGGCGAGGAAATACATATATGTCTGTACATATGTGTGCGCGCGTGTGCCTTCATTCACTGGATGTCTCAAGAGGAAAAGCGAAATAATCATAGGTAGCAAAAGCAACAAGAAGGAGCCCCCAAATAGCCTTAGCCTCCTCCACCCCTTCGCTCAAACCTGCCTTATTTATTGGAGAAATCTCCTCACCTCCCTTCTCACTCCAGAGTGTGCTTGATCCCAGGAAAAAAGTGAAGCCATCTAACCATGGTGGTTTTCAATGGCATGCTGAAAATTAAAATCTGCGAAGCGGTGAATCTTAAACCCACAGCCTGGTCACTAAGGCATGCGGTGGGACCCAGGCCTCAGACCTTTCTGCTGGACCCTTACATTGCCCTCAACGTGGACGATTCCAGGATCGGGCAGACCTCGACCAAGCAGAAAACTAACAGCCCTGCCTGGAATGATGAGTTTGTTACTGATGTTAGTAATGGCAGGAAGATTGAGATGGCTGTTTTCCACGATGCCCCCATTGGGTACGATGATTTTGTGGCAAACTGCACTATCCAGTTTGAGGACCTGCTGCAGAATGGGAGCCGCCACTTCGAGGACTGGGTGAGTGATCAGACCATGTGCTTGGGTCTGTGTCCCTCCAGTTTTACAAGCTTTGAGCTGGAGGGAACGTGTCCCTTTGTTTGACAGAGGTGTCAGCAAGGTGAAATGGTTTGAATGGGCTTTGTTGATGCTCAGGCAGGTGGTAGAACTGGAGATGCAGGTGCTCTGAACTGGCATGTGGGAATGAAGACATTAAAAAGGGTATGGCCTTAACCCTGACAGTTGCCATTGTTATTTTCATCTGGGAAACTTCTGTGTCCCAGGAGCAGCCAGCTAGATATTATAATTCCTAGGCTTGAATGCTTACCAGAACATGTATGAACACTGATGCTGCAGTTTGGCTGTGATTGCCTCTTAGTTGTCATAACATCATGCTGTCCAGCCCATCACTTGAATCTAGGCAAATTTCTTTGCCACAGCTGGCCAGTTCATTGTTGATGGCAAAGCTAGTGTCAATGTGCTTTCTGTTTTGTGTGTAGATATACACGCCGTATAATCTCGTGGAGCCCTAGCATGCCAGTGAAATAATAGTCCCAATATTGCTGGGTATGGTACCCAGAATTCTGAAACATCTTCATGTATTGCTTTCTGCTGCCTGTGTGATGGACAGATCTAGTGGTAATTATCTTAAGAGTGTCCTGTCTCTTCTGGACACCCCCCCCCCAGTGACTCTTGCATTTAAGGATATCATGATGTAACAGGACTGACAGGTGGGGAAGCTGATTGACCATTGTATAGAAGCCTGGGACATGTAGAACTGAAGGTAATACAAAAGGTAGCTAAAAAGCTGTAAAATATGTTGACAATAAGCAATAAAGCAATCCTTTCTGATTGAGAGATTGATCTGTCAGAAACCAGTTTAAGGCCTGTATTTACTGTGGACAGTATTTACAAGGACAGTATTTACTGTGCCCTTGGGAGTCTGTCTGGGCTGACATCACGCAGGGCTTGAGCTTGCAAGCACTCTGCTCTCTTGACTGTAAGTAGAAGATAATTACCTGGACATGAGATTTCAGGTCCACGAGGTTTCTTCTACCAATAGTAAAGGAAGGAGAGGAGTGAGCTGGTGAGCCCTGGGCTCCCCCTGAGTGTTATATTCCTGGAGATTAAGTAATATTTCAAATGTGCCCCTCCAGGATTTTTGTTGGGTCAGGGATAGCATTATGTGATTATGAAACCATGAGTAGAACATAATTGAATTTAACAGACGGGCTGTGATGCTTGGTCATATAAACACATTTGCTGTTGCTAAGAATATTCTAAGAAAAATTGGTTGATCTATAAATGTGGCCTAAGGTGTTTGCATAATTCTGCATGAGATCTTACTGAATACATGAATGTTTTCTTTAAAAGAATGATCAAACTGTTCATATTACCACTATGGCACAAAGAGAAATTAGTGACATTCCAGACTGCTTTATGGATTGGCTAGGAAGCTGATGATGTATGTATGTATGTGTGTGTGTATATATATATATTTAAATTTCAAATTTCAAATTTCTCTGCATAACTTTAAACGTACTCTCTGCTGTAGGTAGAAAACATGTACATTTCTGATCAGAATACTCCTGAGCCCCAAGGGTGTTTCACTTGTACAAGAACTGAAAGTCTACAAGCTTTGGTCATTTCTCCTGGAATGATCTCAATAGGATTATTCTGAAAAAAAAGTGATTTGAAGATTACAGTGTTGGAGAGTAACTATGGGGCAAGCAGGAATGTGATACTGATAAGTGTGCAAATTTTGCAAGTTTCCTGATTTCAGATGTTTTGGTTAGAACGTAACACTAATTCCATATTACTGTGGTGTATATTATCTTTTCCCTCTATGTTTTGGGAGTCTTATTTTGAATCAATTATTTTTCACAGTTATTCGTATGGTACATTTAAGTACAAATTAACTTGTAGTCTCAGTCCTTGGTAGGTCCCAGGTAATGGCCATTACTACTCCCTGTTAACAGAGAGGAGAACTGAGGCTTGCCAAAAGCTATGCAGGGTTCTTATAGCCAAGCAGGGATTGAGCTCAGTTGTTTGAGGTCCGCTGAATCCTACACTGTGACCTACAGGACTGCATTAGGTCCCAGATGCAAAACCATTGCAAAACCTTTACAATGTAATCCTATGCTCAGAAGTAAGTCCCATATTGTGGCTGAAGCAGAGCTTTGCAGCTGCACTGCCCACAGGTGAACATATGAAGTTGCTGCATGCATTGTGTGGTGGGAAGTGGTTTGAACACAAATTCTCTGCCCCGAAAGCAAATGCTGCAAATGTGTGTTCAAACTCTCTTCATTCTCACACTGAGTCAAACCATTGGTTTATCTAGCCCAGTATTATCGTCTACACTATGACTGGCAGCGGTTTTCCAGGATCTGACACCAGTATCTCCCATCACGTTACCTGAAATCCTATTTTCTTAAGTTGGGGAGCTTCAGTTCCTCCAAATGTGTGGAGGTGCTAGCATGTATGTGTCTCCCTTGTAACATAGGAACCAAGAAACTAGCATGTACGTGTCTCCCTTGTAACACAGGTAGCTGAACCAAGAAACAGATACTTTGTGCACACAAGGCATGTTCCCCCAGCTGAGCCACAGTATGCATTCAAATCCCCCAAATGACAAGGATTAGATATGTACTTTATGTATTACGTGTACAAAGAGTACACTTTTGCTTCTTAAATTGGGGGTAGCAGAAAACAGAGAGAATGTATACAGTACAAAACACCAAATTATCATCTAACTGTAGCAGTACAGTAATGTACTGAGATGCTGCCATTGTCAGGTTCTGAAAGAGAAATATTGGATGCTTTTTATATCTGTAATGGGAATGATTAATTTTTTTCCCTGACAGTGGCTTCCTGAATTATTGCAAAGGGGTTGCCGTGTTAGTCATTGTAGCAAAATAAAACAAAAGTCGAGTGGCTGAAGACCAACAATGTTTATTTCAATATGAGCTTTTGGGAAGTGAGCTATGACTTATGAAAACTCATATTGAAATAAATGTTCATAGTTTTTCAGGTGCCACTGTAGTTTTGTTTGATTTTTCTGATTTATTAACGAGTTGTTGTTGTTGTTGTTGTTGTTGTTTTAAAAAACAGCATTTGAATGCATGAAATTGACTGTCAGGGTCTACTCTGACTGGCAGCAGGTCTCTTGGGTTTCAGGTAGAAGTCTTTCACATCCCCTCCTACCTGATCCTTTTAACTGGAGATTCCGGGGATTGAAACTGGGACCTTTTGCATGCCAAGCAGATGCTCCTCTACTGATCCATGACTCCTCCCTACAAAGAAACCTATTCCTCATCTTTGTGTCAAGTGCTAGACAAACATGCCCTAAAATTAAGAGAAGCAATAGAAGATGTCTAACATTTTCCAGCTTTTTAAAATAGCTAATAACATCTTAGCACAGTTTGAAAGAAGTCAGTGTAACTCAAACAATCTTGCAAAATCATGCATCTGTAATTATGTATTTATTGGTAATATATGTATCCACAAGGTGTCTAACAAAATATTTTAAAAGTATAATACATGTTATACTGGAATTAGGACAGCAGCAGAAGTTAACCTAGCCAGGAAACCAACAGTAAGATCATCAACTCCCTGCTTCTTTCTTTCATGACAGATGAGTTTTTTGATTGACTGTGCTCTGTATCTTGGTGAATCATTCATAACATTTGAAAGAGAGATTCTTGTCGTGTTGCTAAAACTCCAGATGTTTATGGTCATTCCCCTCTTTGTCAAATAACGACAGTTTTCATCTGGGGGTTGCACGTTGGACAAGAAGCAAAGTTGTCGCCTGTGAAAATTATCAGTTGGCTCATACTAACAGCTGCTTCCAATTTAAATTGTGGAACATTTCAAATTTAAATTAACATAAATGGTCTATATAGTATGAACTAGGTGAAGATTTTGCATATCTTAAAACAACTGTACTTGCATTGTACCTGCTTGGGAAAGGAGCATAGTTCAGTGACAGAGTGCATGCTGAAGGTTTTCAGGTTCATTCCAGTTAAAGGCTCTCAGCTAGCTGGTATTAGGAAAGAAATTTCTGTCTGCCTGAAATTCCTCTGTCTGGAGAGCTGTTTCCGCTCATTGGACCAATACTGGACCAAGAATCTGGCTTGTTATATGGCATGTTTATATGTTCATTTACCATAGTTGGCATATATACATAATATATTTTAGAGTCTCATATATACTTTTATTTTTTAAAAAGGGTTCCAGTAACAAAGAAATTGTTTCATGGTTTCCCCCAAATCTCATATTTACTAGATCCTTCTGTTTCCTTTAATACGTCATTTATTTGTATAGAAAGTCTTCCACTTTCTGTTGGGCCACTCTTGTTAGCGGTGTTTCTGTTACCTTCAGATCCTTTGCAAACACTATCCCTGCAGTAAAATTTAAATGACCTGGGCATGATGAAGGCAGTGGAGAATATTAGAGGAATATTGCAACTCACACCTTCTAGCTAGTGTTGACTCTATGGTCTGATACTTTTACTATCTTTTTAGTGTCAGCGTAAATGGTATGATGTTCTGGTCTCAAGTCTGCACTTCCTTCTTACAGTAGCATCATCAAAATCCTCATACATTGATAACATGGCCTGTCCGCATATTAATAGCTTGACTGTGTTCTGCCAGAAAGCAAAGATAAATTTAAATGGAACATTTACAAGCAAATGTCATTCTTTATTTGCAAATGTCAGCTCTAGAAGGAGATTGCAGATTGTGTTCTGTATCCTAGAATAATTCTTTGCGGGGATGGGGAATATGTAGAGATGGCATCTGAGTCAATTCATGAACGGCATACTGTTTTTGTGGGAGAAACACAGCCCTTGTGTAGTTAGTCATTTCACTTCTTGTTTGTCTTACTTCATTACTTGTATCTTAATGTACTATTTTGAGAGATTAGTCATCAACCTTTCTGGGACCAGGATTCACCTTTAATCTCCACCTGTAATGTGGGACTCCACTCTTAATCACTGACCGTACATTTCTTTACACCTGTGC